CCCCAATTTTATGAGGGGGAGGGGGGGGGGGCATAACAAGTATCTGTCTCTATCAAACCAAAACCTGTTTTGAAGACAACATCTGCAATGAAAGGGATCAGGTCCAGTATCAATAAGACTACTCTGTTAAAACCTTTCCCAGAGTTCACTTTCACAGAAAAGACACATGGCAACTTCAAACATTTAATTACAGCAATAAAGCAGTTTTTTATAGAGTACTGTTAAATGTTTATTGCACGTGGGAGAAATGGGGTTGTGTGACCTTGCATTTAACAATATCAGACCACACAACTCTGTACCTCCTACATGTAACACGTTTATACATAACTCTTCTCTATATATATCCAGTTTACTGAACACTGCTTATTTTTTCAGCAAGAAAAAACAAATATCCCTAATCTTATTTAAAAGAAGGTCCCTGCATTAGAACCTGCCATTTTGAAATATTTAAAAGGAAAGTTTGGATATTTCCTGCCATTTAAAAACTGATTTACATGCTTTTACAAACCTAAAATGAAACAAAACATGTATAACTTGAATACCCCTCATCTCATCCACATTTATGTATGTATTCCCTAAAAGACCCCATGAGAATATAGACTGCTTATATACATGTGTAGCTACATGACTTTACATGACAGTGATTAAGCCTGCTAGGTTTCAATGAAAGGGGAATAACTCTGTAAATATATAAATACCAGAGTTAACAACTACCTTGCATACCAACAAAGTGCACAAACATAATTAGAAAAAGTGTTAAAATTGAGGGGAGGGGGGAAGGTTATTATAATCACCTAACCTTCGATCCACACTCTTTCTCTCTTTTCAATGTTGTTTCTACATTTAACATCCCCTCCCTGGGGTGTTATTTAGATTAAGTATGTTTGTATTATAAACATGCCCGTTCCCTTGGACGTTAATTAGAAATAAAGTGGTGTATTCCTCATATTCACATTTGAATGCAACAGCCCTTTTTTGGTGTTACAGGATGGAATAAAAATTGATACAAATCACTGCATTTCAGTATTATATACATGTACCTGCATTCTTCCCTTGTATGTTATAACTGTAAGCAGAAGCAATATGGTTATTTCAATATTATTTTACTTTCCTCCACCTGTGTGTTTATTAGAATCAGTAAGTCTCTATAACAACCCCACCCCCACCCCCACCCCCCTCTACTTGGGCCATGGGTGTTAATGATATTACTGCCCCTCTGCCTTAGTTGTTAATTATAATATTACTGCCCCTCTGCCTTGGGTGTTAATTATATTACTGCCCCTCTGCATTGGGTGTTAATTATAGTACTGCCCCTCTGCCTTGGGTGCTTATCATATTACTGCCCCTCTACATTGGGTGTTAATTATATTACTGCCCCTCTGCCCTGGGTGTTAATTAAATTATTTTATTATATCCCCAGTTAGGTGGTAGCTATATAATTGTTGTGTGTCAATATTACATATCTGCCCCTCTCCAGTTAGGGGGTAGCTATATACATTGTTGTTTATCTGCCCCTCTCCAGTTAGGGGGTAGCTATATACATCGTTGTTTATCTGCCCCTCCCCTGTAAGGTGGTAGCCATATACATTGTTGTTTATCTGCCCCTCCCCCGTTAGGTGGTAGCTATATAAATTGTTGTTTATCTGCCCCTCCCCCGTTAGGTGGTAGCTATATACATTTTTGTTTATCTGCCCCTCCCCCGTTAGGTGGTAGCTATATACATTGTTGTTTATCTGCCCCTCCCCCGTTAGGTGGTAGCTATATACCTTGTTGTATGTCTATATTGTTTATTTGCCCCTCCCCCTTTGGGTGGTAGGTATATACATTGCTGTATGTCTATATTACATATCTGCCCATCCCCCGTTAGGTGGTAGCTATATACATTGTTGTTTATCTGCCCCTCCCCTGTTAGGTGGTAGCTATATACATTGTTGTTTGTCTACATTGTATATCTGCCCCATCCCCATTAGGTGGTAGCTATATACATTGTTGTATGTCTATTTTACATATCTTCCCCTC